TAGTTTTCTTTTCCATGTCTTTGCATTCTTGTTTTGCACTTGTTTTCTGTTTGTTCTATTTTTTGTCATCTGCTCTATGAACATCTTATGTTTTTGTGCTATTTTGATCTGAATGAATCTGGCTGTTATGTTTTTCATTTATGTGTTGTGTTTTTCTCTTCTTCTGTTATCTTTTCTGTCTTTAAAATTCTTTTTGATTATGACAAAAGGGGGAGAAAGAGAATTTGATTGTTCAATCCATAAGCAATACTAAAATGAAATTCAGACATTGTTTTAATCTAACATTGAATCTTAAGACTTTCAGATTTTATTAATTCATCTGACAAAAATGATCTGAAGTTACCCTGAGAATTACCCAACCAGACTCTGATCCTTGAAGAAAATATGACTCTGATTCTGGAAGATATACCAGAACTCTTAAATTGAAGGAAATCATCAGACTCTGATTCTAGAAAGCATAAAAGGAATTCTACCAGGTTCTGGAATATACTCAAGCAAAAAGGGAAGTGTTCTCTTCTATTAGAGTATTCATTTCAGGGGGAGATTCTTAATATCAGGGGGAGTTATATATATTATATTTCTCTTTATTAAACAAAATTCCCTATGTTTTGTCATCATCAAAAAGGGGGAGATTGTTAGAACACAGATTGGTGTTTCTTATATCTCTATGTTTTGATGATAACTTTTATGGAATTTTGTATTAAGAAAATATACACTCTAAAATTTGTTCAAGTATTATTGTTTCAGGTATAAAATTAAATACTCTTAAAAAAGCAAAATACATAAGTACAAAGAAACTATGCAAGGCTCTGAAGCATCAGATGCAAGACTATCAGAAGATTCTGAAGCGCTGCCAGAAGGATCTGAAGCAGAAGCTACAGAATGATCTGAAGCGTCAATGAAAGAAGTGTACAAAAGTTGAAAGCTCTGATCTAATCAGACTCTGAAGTTCTTTTCACTGCAAGTTCAGAGGCTTTGATAACCAGACTCTTATCATTAATATTCACGCTCAAGCACATACTGTTGCACACTCTGATGAAGACTCTGATCAAGATTGAGACTCTGATACATTAAGATCTGATCATCTATCAAGACTCTGAACTTCTCAATCATTTTAAGCTCTGATCATCTTAAAGTATTTCATACCTTTAAGCTTGCTACAAGCTCTGAAGTGCAGATTATGAAGACTTCATCCTGAAGGAAGCTTGTTGAAGAAGCTGTAAAACTTGATTAGACGTGGTGCTACTTCCAAAGTAACCAACGGCTAATTTGTCCAAACAAGTGACGTGGTGCAAATCCCAAGGCTTCTACAACCATACCTTTCTGCAGAAAGCATATCTCTGCCCATACTTTTGGTGATGAAAAGTCTTACAAATTTAATATTATATACAGCTGCACATCACTCAAAGCAATTTGGAAAAGCTATAAAAGAGAACTTCTACAACATTTTGAAGCTGCTAATTCATTACTCACCATTTGCTCATTGCTAGTTCACTCAAAAAGAAATACACGCTTGATTCATCAAAGTGAAAATCACAAAGATCTTATTCATTTGATCTCTCATAAAACTGTATAGTTTTTGTTGTACTTAATCTTAAGTGTAAACATCACAGTTGTGATACAGCTTATTAGAAGCATTCAAACACTTGTTAGTTTACATTAATTTGTAAGAAGTTCCTTAAGAAGACCAATGTGTGGTCAGTAGTTCTTGAGAAGACTAAGAAAGTTGTTCTTAGTGCTTTCTATTGTAATCAGTTGATCAATAGTGGATTAAGTCCTTGTAGAGAAAGGCAAATCATCTTTGATAAGGTGGACTGGAGTAGTTGAGTTCAACGAACCAGGATAAAAATCTTGAGTTGTTTTTATTGCCATATTTCTTAAAACTCTTATTCAACCCCCCCCCCCCCCTTCTAAGTGTTTTTCTCACCTTCAAGTAGGACCGACCACTATCTAGCACGGGGGGAGCTCACGTGTCTCCCTCACGGACTCCACGTGCCCCCCACGCGAGGACATATCATCAGGCAACTAACAACTTCCGAAAGAACTGGTCAGCCCACCTTCTGAAGATCACGGTCAGTTGATCCAAGGTGAAGACCACATGCTGGTCTTCCCTACACCACGTAAGCCCTAGCAGTTACTCGCATTAGGCCTCGCAATCTAACCCAATGCAAAGTAACTATTGGCCTTGCACTGGGCCACATTATAAATACTCTCTTTCACTAGAGGGTCAGGTATTCTAAACTCTACGCCTATTTTCTTTGTACTTGCTCTCTCTAAACTCCGTTACTCACTTAAGTATCGGAGTACCTTGCAGGTACACCCCCTCCTCCTCTTTAACGCTGGTGAACACAGGAGTTCACGACGTGTGGCAGGCCGCTGATTCCTTTCTGATCAAATAAGATCAATTATCAAATTTGACTTCTAGATCGTTTGGTTGATGAGTTGGAACTAGATCAACACATAACAAATATTAATCTAAATGAGGGATACAATTAAAAGGAAAAAACATTAATCTAAGAGAGAGATATAATTAAAAGGAAAAAATAAAAAAATATTACACTAAAATCAAATATTCTATTTATTCAATAGATATAAAAATTTTAAAATCCAAATTATAATATTCATTAATAAATAGTAAATATTTACATTCTTACACAATCTTCATGACCTTTTTAGGCAAAAACAATCTTTCAGAATATAAATCTAAGATTCTTCAAATAAAAACATTTACATCTTCATAAAATAAAATTACTAAAATCCACTTGATATTGATTAATATTTTTTAGTGACAAAATAAATATATAAATGATAGGAAATCAAAAATCCACTTATTAAACAAAAGCTATCTAATCATACATTACAATAAATCACATATAACAAAATTAAAAATTCCGAAAAATCACTCAATAAAATTAGACATCTAAATCACATTTAATAAGAGATTCCGACTAGATCTCAAACCATCATGAACACCAAACAGAATAAACACTAAAAAAACGGATCTTAACAACAAAACAATCACTAAATTTGATATGAATTCTTAATCTACTTTCATTTAAGAGGACCTTAACCATATAACAATTAATAAACCTAATATGAACTCTTAATCTTCTATTAGTTAAGACATATAGGATTCTAAAATCAGATAAAGAACCCAAGTCACTTGTTATTTCTACTCTTCAAATAAAGTGTTAGCAATTTGAATAGGACATTTTGCCTTTGATACACTCTTCAAATAAAGTGTTATCAATTTGAACTACTCCTTTTTAGTCTGTCTCAATCAATGATTTCAACGTGGTTATCCTCTTGAATCATTTGGATAAATATCACAAAGAAATGATGCTGTATTTCCGCTGTTACAGAATATGACAGCTTCAGAGAGATATTTTCTTCCTTACAACCTTTTTCTTTTCTTCTACATAATACAAAATAAGGCTGTAAAGAATCATTTTGAAGGCTTTATGGCTTTTTCACAATATAGTAGCTCATTACATATTGGAAAAAGTCAAAGTTCAGGTTACATATAAGGTTACTTATAAAACTGTTTTTCCACTCCATTCATTTGAGATTGATACTTGATAGCCAGTTGGAAACAACTAGCGATAGGGATTGAAAACAAGCATGAACGCAAAAACACAGTAAAAGAAAATGGATCACCCTCCATTCTCTTTTATAAAAGAATTTTAATTTTTTTAATTCATTAAATAATTAATATATTTAGCTATATAATGTTTAAATAAATCATTTATTCAATAAACTTAAAAAATCAAAATACTTTTATAAAAGAGAATGGCGATAATAAGGATAATAAGGCGGATATAGTTAAAGATGCAAGTCTAAAATTTTTTCTCACTCAAAAAAGAAAATTGAGGCAAAGTGAAATGGGCATGCAGACTATGCAACCAAAAAACCGAGGTAGGCGAAGAGGATATATTAGAGGGTGTATGCTAAAACCTTGGCTCATACAACGAAAAAATGCGGGTAAAATGGACATAATGTCTGGTGGAACAAATCCGTTTTGTCAATGCTAACTAGCTATCTTATCTAGTTAGTTCAAAGATATTTTCATCTCAAAATGGCTTAAACATCTAATTAGGATGGTAAAACAGGTCCGTTCCGCTGAACACGTCCGTTTAAACATCTAATTAGGGGTGGCAAAACGGATCCGTTTCGTCAAACACGTCTGTTTTACCCACATTTTTTTTGAGACAGAACAAAATTTTAAGCCTGCACCCTCTAATATCTTTGCTTCACCCCGCCTCGTTTTTTCAGACTTTTGCAAACACAAACATTAAATTTTTTTTAACTTTTAACCTTTAAGAGTGCAAAGCTCAATGTCCGCCCCGTCCTCATTTTTTCGTGGAGAAGCCATAATTTCAGGCCTGCACCTTCAACTATGTCCGCCTTGCGTCATCCCATTTTTTTACAGGTTTTTGTGGGGTGAAACTAAATGTCATCAAGAGAAAGTATCTAGTCACTCATATTTAAGGACTTGCATATATGCAGAAAAACCAGTTACATAAATTTTATTCAAGGAAAAGAGTAAACATAATGTAAATGATAATCATGAATTTTCAAATCAAAAGTGCTTATGATTCTTCTGTCTATTATAAACTGATATAACAACTCTGATACAACTGAATAACATACACCCCCCCCCCCCCCCCCCCCCCCCCCCCCCCCCCCCCCCCCGCCCAATACATTCTTATAATACAATCTTTGCATACTTGTCACCTGAATCCATTTCAACAAAACGCTCCATTCTATAGCCCATCTTTTCATTGCGAAACAGATTCTTGAAACTCATCTTGTTGCTTCCCTTTCCCATACACATTGTCTGCCTCTACTACACTAAATTCTGCACTAAACAGCGAGATAACACAAACGACGACGACAGTAGGACCGAATTCGTTGGACCTATTAATTTATACCCTCTCCGAATGAATACACCCGTGACAATTTTGCTACACAAAAACTTCATTCACCCTTTCATGCTCTGTCTATAGAACATCTTTTCCCGAAGTTACTTGATCAAGTTTATAGCGGAGCCTTCCTAATCGACGACCCTACAAACAAAACAAATACAAAAACTTTCTTTAATCTCAATTTCTTAAATCACAACAACAACGCGTATTGTGCTAACGACTTGAAGGCAAACAAACTCTTTACATCATGGTTTAAAATTGCAGTTTGCAACCGCAATTGCAGTTTCGACCACATCAGTTGCATTTTGCAGCAATTTAAAGGCTCACAGTCTAACAACAAGCGCAATTTAAAACCATGATTCATATAATGCTAGACAATAGAAATCATCATCTCAACCATTAAGATACAAAAAAGAGCAAGAAGCACTACAAAATTCAATTCAACAGAAACCTCATCACAACCATGAATTATCATTCATTCCTAACATAAAACAAGACAGGATTCAAACATAAGCCACAAAACTCATTCCATTCAATGAATGCATCAAAAGTCAAAAGTCAAAAGGATATAACCCTCAAAGCATGACAATAAAGATCCAAAAACATGATCAAGAACACTTAAATCCATCATACCATTCTCCATGTGCATCTACTTATTAGTCAAAAAAGAATGATTGTTATGAATAAGGATATGACATGTCATGACCCTTCACCAAACAAAAGCAAAACCCAATAAAGTTAACCAATAAAACCTTCTTCTTTTTCATCCCTTTCCAACAAAACACTCGCAGAAAAAATAAATTTTCCTATGCATCAAAAAACTAACAATTCCTTGATAGCATGACATGGACAACACGAGAAAAGAAAAAGATAAATACTATTCATTTTCTAAAAAAAAAAAAAATCAAAACTTTTCATAATTTCAACCCACCAAACAACATAAACAAACATGATCAATAAGAACACGACCGTCCACCCACCAAACCAATCACAAATCACAATCACAACAATTGAAATTGACCATGACCAATGTCACAATACTGTAAAACATTAAACAAACCAAAACCAGAAACAAGCCTCACCTCAGAATCATCACGAACAGCGACACATTCCGGTGGAGTTTCAAACAAAGACAAAGAGAATTGTTTATGAGCAGCACCAACATCAAAGTAAATCAAACCAGAGCTAGGAACATCAACACGAATACTTTTAACAGGCAACCAAAGAAAAAGATCTTGCGCCTCTAACCCTGTCAACCCATCAATCTTCCCATAACTCAATGACCCAGAAACGTTTCGATCATAATGCAACTCGTTCTCGAATTTGGCGTTACAAGCTTGATCTAAATGTACCCAGAATTTACCGTCTTCACCAACGTTGAATTGGGTAACACCCTTGGGGAAAATACCCATGGGAAGACCGTGGTTGTGGAGAACCTCGTAAATGGAAGTTGCATTTTTTGATGAAGAAAATGCATAAGAAGAAGAAATGGTTGAGATTGAAAGAACGAGGAGAAGAAGAAATTGAAACATGTTTGTGAGTTTTAAGGTTATGATGTTTTAGAACATTGGATTGAAGAGTGAAATGGGTTTTGGGATTGGTGGAGAGAGAGAGAGAGAGAGAGAGAGAGAGAGGTGACAGCTTGAATACAGAAGGGATTGGGCAGAATGATCAATTATTGGTATTTGGTGGTGACCGGTGACTGGTGTGTGGGGTTTTTTTTGTTTTTTTTTATATTTTTAATAAATTTTCAATTTTATTTATACTCTATGCTTAACAAAATATAAACAAATTTTAGTTAAGTAAATTGTAACAAAATGTGAGTAAAAGTTGGTTTTTATACTATATTTAATATTAATATGGTAAAATGTTCTTATTGTAATTCAATTAGTTATATCAATTGAAACAAGTTTTAGTTAAGTAAATTGTAACAAAATATAAGTAAAAGTTGATTTTGTATACCATATTTAATATTAATAAGCTAAAATGCTCTTATTTTACTTTAATTAGATATATCAACTGAAACAAATTTACATACTATTATTGTTTGTAGTTGGGAGTAAGTTAGATTTAGTAATTGATGATAAATATGACTAATTAAGTTTCTTAAACGTGTGAAAATATTAAATTTTGTTTATATTTTTTAAAAAATATATAATAGTAGAGCAAATTATAGAAATTAAAAAAAGTTGATTCCATACTAATTTTGTTGATTATAATTTTATAAGTTTATTATTTGAAGAGAGAATTATATGATGTTTATTCATGCGTTTTTAATACAAATTGAAAAGTAAATGTAATATAATTAAAATTATATGTGTAAAACGCACTTTGAGTATGAATAGGTCTTATAAAAATGAATAAATAAAAAATTAAAGATAATTAGGAACAGAGATAATTTTTTTTAGTACAGTTGGAAAAAGAAAAGAAAAAAAAGAATATTTAAAAAATAAAATTTCACTAACGTCAATTAATATGAGATTGATGATTTTTACATAAAGTTCCGCAAAAGATTATTATGTCGCATCATTACCAGCTTTATGTTTTATTATATAGTTAACACAAATATTCTCCTCCTTAAGAGTATGAAATATTTGAACTCGACAATCCTTAATGAGAAGCACTTTAATGTCTTAGATAATCGCGATATAGTGATGTCAAACATTAACCGACTTTGAAATAAATTTGATAGTAGAGTTGGAGTCAAAATAACACATCAAGTCTTTGATGTTAAGTTTCCAGGTCATGCGTGAACATGATATAGCGCCATCAGCTCAGCGTGAAGGATATTGGAATAACCAATATTACCTGCAAAATCGTGAACCCAAACACCATCTACATTTTGAATCATTCTACCAAAACCTAAGACGTCGGGATTATCGAGGCTACTGCCATCAATATTCAAAATCATGTTACTACGTTTGTGTGCATTCTATGTGATCGCTCTTGTTGGATGAGACTGATTATGCTTGAGAAAACATTTAGCTAACAAATTAGCATAATTCACTGTGGCGAGTTTCAAAGTATAGGAATATATCACTTCAACATCAAAACATAATTTCTTCCTAGCACACCACAACCACCAACAAGCTACCAAAAAGATATAGCCATCATCAATATCATGTCTAATCCAATCATATAAACTATCTCCTTGGAATAATAGTGAGTCCAAGAAGACAATAGATTTCCAAAAACGAGTAGAAAATTCACAGTTTCTCAGTCAATGTAGAGTCGTCTCAGCGTCTTGATTGCATCTAGGACAAAGACCCCTCTAGAGTATGCTACGATGACACAACATTAATCGCGCAGGAAGGGACTTATGTATGGTCGTCCAAAGGAAGAATTTTACCTTCCCAGGAGCAGGAATATGCCACACCCACATCCAAGATTTATTGTCTGTTGTATTGAACAAATTCAACTCTATTAAGCTTGTTATAACCATCTGGATGTATATATATCATCTAAATTATTTTTTGAGGTTAACCTATCAGGCACTATAGAGTTGACACAAGTGGGGAGAGCTTTCAGGCGGTCACAAACATCCGAATGAATATTAGTATATAATGAATTAAAGTCCAACTCTCATCCAAGTAAGCATCATTCACTCTCATTTCCATATCGTGGATATCCACATAGAGAATCTTCTCCGCTAATTTCCCTACCCCGAACAATTGGTAAACCAGAAAGAGGAGTTTCCATCCCCCAATCTAAATTCAAAGACATCTTTAAAAGCAGGGAGAGCTTTCATAATTGCATTCCAAGTAACTGGTCCAGGTTTCTTTTTCATATTAAGGAACATTTCTTCACTAATGTACTTATGCTTCAAAACATGGACCCATGAGGAATCACAATCCCGGTGGAGACCCCAAACCAGCTTACCCAACATAGAAGTATTGGCCTTTCTTACTTTTCAGATCCTAAGACCACTCAACTTTGTAGGCTTTTTGATTTTATTCCAACCAACGAGATGTACACCAGAGTTTGAATTACCTTTCTACAAAAAATTTCTAGTTATCCTATCAATAAAATCACAAGTTGGCTGAAGTATCCAAGCCACTTGCATATAATAACTTGGAATGGAGTTCAGGACATATCTAACTAGAGCCAAGTGAACAGCCTTGTTTAACAATTTATGTTGCCAAGATGCTAACCTCTTGATCACGACTTTCTATGTCTAACCGAACTAACTGCAAGTGCACAGTCTATCGCATAGTAATAAAAGATATCGATCCCACATGGACTCGTAATCAAGCTAGTGTTCTCAGGTGTTACTATGTTTAGCTAGGTTGGTATGGTTTTAGGGAAATAAAAGCAAAAGAAATGTGTAATTTAAAGGGGAACTAAAAACGTTACTTAAGGTATAAATGCGTGAATCGGTATGCAATATGTTGGTTCTTCAAGGATTCGACAAGTTACCGGCGTATTAGGTGTTTTCAAAAATAGTTTAAGAAGAAAATGACGGTTTAAAGACCTTTGTCTCACGATGGTTGTTGACGCTAGTCGCAACTCTAAGGCGGAACGTATGCTGTCGTTATCCCGTTCGGGGTTTAAATTACTTTTTGAAAACCATTAAGTTCTAATCCCTTTTAAAGCGTTGTCGCTGTTTTTAAAACAAATGCCTAGTTTTTACTATCAGGTCTTGGCCGCAGCTGTCGCTTGTTGGTTCGTACCTTAATTAATTTCCCACTCTCGTGGCAAAAATACTTTTAAATAAGTTCTCGCTGTCGCGACGAACGTTTATTTAGAAAATCAATTTAAAAACTAAAGCCAGAAATAAGTTTGAAAAGGAAAGAATACACCGGTTATTATCGAATCCCATCTGACTACCTATTACATACCGATTACTTTAATTTAGCCAGACATGGAATATAAACTAATAACACGTAAACAATGGCAGAAAATATAAGCGTGCATCATAATGGGAAAGTAAAAATAAGATTAACAATTATAATAAAAACCTGTAAATAATTCGATTGGCCTTTGGGAAATCCTCCAAAATGCCGGCAGGATTTAGTCTTGGTACCAATAACTCGTACATAATAGAATTGAAAAGTACAAAAGGATTTGCAAGGAAAGGAAAAGGAAGCAATAAAGAAATCTAAAACTTAAATTCGCTCTGAAAATAATTTGGCAGCACTTCGTGGTCTTGAATGCGGCTCCCCTTTTCTGGTCTCAGCCTCCTCCTTTTATAGATGGAATTCCCAACGGTTAGTTGCTTCAGGAAGTGGAATTGATGTCAGAAAAAGTAGGAGTTAGTGGTCCACTCCTTTTGGTCTTTGAGGGCACTTACAGCACGTGACTGCTAACTGCATATTTTGTCTGCATGACGGTCGTCATGGAATGTGACGGTCGTAATACGCATGACGGTCGTAAGGGTCATGTGACGACCGTCATATCAGCAAAATTCGTATCTGCTGTTTTTCATCTGGTTTTCATCTGTAATTGCTTGTTTTCTTCATCTTGCTCCATTTGAACATGAACTTTGAATACCTGCAAAATACTAGACAAATAACGTGGAAAAACCCGAAATCGGAGTGAAACCAGTCATAGATTAGTTAAAATGTATGTCATTACATATATATACGATTTCACGTTATCAAACACCCCTAAACTTGAATCCTTGCTTGTCCTCAAGTAAAGGTAGGAAAAATTTAAAAACTTAGCAAGCACGTGGCACGCTCTTCTTTCGAAAAGACTTTTCAGACGTCAAGTTAGGAGACCGGGAGTCCAATGGAATCAAAACGTATACGACGATGACACTGAACTGTAAGTCTTCGAAGGCCTCTCTTTTATGCAAGCCAGTCCCAATCATGCTACTGCAGCTCGGCGTCAAGTTTCTTGCAACAAGTTTTACCCGGTTTCGTTCTGGCGCAATCACATTAAGCCCGTTGTCTATACACGTTCATGGCAAGTAAACTTGTTAGTGACTATGATCTCATTGCTAATTTGATTTTTCTTCGCACATATGCTTATTCTGCTATTGATCTTGAAGAGTTTTGTACCGTTGGGCTAAATGCTCGGGTGAGGAGCACCTAACTTAGAAGGAACATGTCTCTATATTCAGGTTATATGGCTTTTCTTTTTCATGATTTTTCATTTCAGACTAGAGATCACGCACTTATTTGCATCGGTTTCTTACTTATAAGTGTTTAGGATGGTGCTGACTGCTCGTATAAACTACTGGGGGCTCCATTTGAGTCGAAAACTTGAGGCTTTGGTACAAGTAAGTAGTGAAACTGACTCGCATAAACCGGAGGTCTAAGGTGTCAGGGCGGTAATGGTTTTGTTAGAATTTTCTTCTCGGGAATTCCAAACTTGGTTAAACTTTGGCGTGCCACGTGATGCTTTGAGGAGGATAAAAGTTTTTGTATATGTCGAATAAAGTGCGGAGAGTTCAAGTAACGGAAAGAGATATATAAATGAGCTTTATTTGCCAAAGTTAAAATACTTTAAATTGAAATTTCTGAATGAAAGTACAAGCGGAATAGGAAATAACAGGGAAATAGGGAAATAACGCTCCGCTCCCACACTA